GTTTTTTCAACTTGAAAGCGAGGAACATGTTACAGTGTATTCGGGAAATTACATTGCGCGCGAGGGCAAGAATAACTGCATATTAATACGCGCTTTGGGGTTAAAGAACCATAAGAAAAGGAAAAAGGGGAAGGAGAGAGCGAAGATATATTATAATTAATTACTGAAAATTAATGTTTACGATGCGCGCATCGTAAATTTCGCCACGAAATGTATGTGATTTTACACATTCACATTTCATCGTAAAGATTCACCCAAGTATCAATTTATGTAAATTGCCTGGTTATTCGAATTGAATAATTCTTTGTCTCTGTAATGACTCGCGTTTAAATGAAACTAATATTTTGTACAAAAGATCAAGTTTTTTAGCTTTCCTAAAAATATAATGTCTCACAATTGTGTGGTACAATCGGGAGAAAGAAAGTGTAAATACGCATATATGAGATTAAGAGTATGTGAAATAAAATTTTTTAACGCAAGGATCTCTCGTTTTCGAGGAAGTTTTCATAAATTGGAAAATTAATAATATTTTAGCACCTTTTTAAGCTTTACACAACTATAAATTGCTAAATGATTTTAATTCTTTAGAAAGCAGCGTACGAAAATGCCATTAATTCCTATGCACGGGAGCCTCATATATACAAATACATTACGCGATCGCCTTTGTACCAATGTACACCTTGTACATTTTCTACTAACGAAGGCATGCAAGGTGACTGATCTCTCGCGTCAATTTCGCAAATTTCCGATGCAATGCGGCGCAGAGAGGGAGAGGCGAAGAAGGAAAAGCGGGTGAACGAGAGCGAGAGAAAGAAACAATGTGCGAATGATGAGAAAAGTAGAAAGAGACGTAGGAGCAGCAGGTAGGGATAGTGTACCTGCCTGTGTACTTGCCTGTGTACATTTCTCGTGACGTGCAACTCCAGTCTCCAGTCACCGATCGAATGCTCGACAGATCGGTCGGTCACGCGATAGATTTTCTTGAAACCGTGATCGCAATCGACTCGCAATCGCTGCTCATGCCGTGTAAAGGGAGAAAGAGCGATTGCTCGAACGGCAGTTTCGATTAACGTGACGAGGCGTGTAAATCGAAAGACTCGACAGTGATAATTTGTTGGTACATTATCTCGCAATTATTCGCGCTAATCATACTAATCTTTCAAAGTACTCAACTTTTTATGCGTATGTGTACGAGCAATACTCTCATGTGTGTGATTTTTCGATATTACAATTATATAATTGTGCGATTTACAGTTTGCGGTTTACGACAGACGGCAGTTCACGATTTTTTATAAAAAAAAAGGAGAAAAAATAGATTTTAGAATAGGAATCAACCTCAGTAAAATTTCAGTGAGTTTCGATTTTGATGTTATGCGACAATTTTGTCTCTCTATCTTTATTACAGTTTATATCTATCTTTATTGAGACAACTGCGCTGTTTAAAAAGTTTTTTCCATGTCCATATTCTGAGTATGGTAAGGTATTTAAAAGTCTATGATATATATTATCAATCTTTGTTCACACACATACTGCGAAAAGAAATAGACGCGCTAATTCGTGGCTTTCATAAAAAGCGGAAAACAAAGCTGAGAGAGAGAGAGAGAGAGAGAAGCATTTCAAAATGCAAAAATTTCGTGCATGCTGACCAAAACGCTCCGGTGAATGTAATAATAATCTCCATCAAGCTCTCTCGAAACACTCCGAAAGATGCCTCGCAGCTGTAAGAACGGTCCGTTATGTATGTTTATTCACGAGTATGAGAAATGGAAGACTCGATTGGGATGTTCAATTTATATTTTAATCACTGTCTTGCGATTAGTTCTCAACATTATATTAAACACGTATGTGTGTTGATGTTTTTAAATTGCCGGGTTTTGAATAAACTTTTCTTTTTTCTTTTATATTGAAGAGAATTTTTTTTTTATTTATTTCTATTTATACAAAAAGAATTTTGGTTACCACATTTAGAAAAAGTATTTGTGCAAAAAAATTACACGATAATTACACGATATAAAATTATCTTCCAAACAAGATAATTTTTATATAAACAATTTTTCCAATATTTTTAATTATGCTTATGGAATAATCTCTCTTAATATTCACTTAAATCAGACATATTGTGTGTGTATAAAATTTGGATAAAGTATAATTGTCTCTTATAAATATATCATGCATTTTATTGTATAAATTTAAGGATTATGTATTAAATTAGTGAATTATATCAATCCAAACACGATATGTTGTACCATTGATCATAGCAGGAAATTGTACATTTAATTTGAAATTAGAAATTCTTCTTGTTTGATTCTACCTGTGCCTTTGATAAATCTACTGATGAAAGTAATATATAAAATAATAACAGTTACACACACACACACACACACACACACACAATCTCGCATACATATACGCGCGTAAATGAAACTGCCTATGAAGATCTCAAAACCGGAATCTCTCGATTTAGTGCAACGACTTGGATGATACTTGAAGCAATTTGTGACATCACAAATTATCCTTCTTATTTCATTTCGATATCTTCTTCCGCGTACGAGCAATTCGAATCTCATAAATTTTGTATAACGTTTTCTGATGTGCTGCTTGTGCCGGATAGATGGTTGTTCGAAATAGTTTTACGGTATTTGACGATCATAGTACGTTTAAGAATTAACGGATCTTTCTTTGCGCACCTTTGTATAAAAATAAAATAAAACGTGAAACTGGAATATATATAAGCGCTATTTAAGTATATAATATACAAATTTAATTAATTTACATCTTTAAAAAATCAAAAATTGCATGCAGTTTTTTGAAACAATTTTGTTTTATTTTTATGCATATTTATGATATAATTTTTACTTTATTTCTAGATAATTGCGATTCTGCGTACGTTGCCAGTCGGATCAGCGATTACCATGTTGTACAATCTGCTTTGGATTCAACGTAGCATTCTATCGCCACAATATTAATTCGCAACTATTATAAGAAATATATATGGTGGAATAATATAAAAATATTTTACTGTAATCTTACATGTCAATTTTTAAGAAACGGTTCGAGAAACAGACAAATCTGTATCAAACACAATACATATAATTGTGTGTGTGTGTGTGTCTGTGTGTGTCTGTGAGAGAGAGAGAATCTTTGTTATTTGTATAATATAAATAAAATTATCATTTGAACGAAAAAAAACGCACAAGTTGGTGAGATTCTATAAAATTGCAATTCACACAGCATAAAAATGCATTAGCGCAAGACTACGTTCGATATATAATAGCAAGCGAGAAATCATGCAAGTTTTGTAAATCGGCTAGAAAATGCGATTAAGACATTACCGTTATCTTCTACTTTGAGTCGCGAATACGATTCCACAAAAGGACCAAGGAGAGATTATCGGCGAAAAATTATCTCGGACAAGTAAAGACGGCGTAATAATTATTACGGCGGAACGTAATATTATTATCGTGAAAGTCAACAATGTACAATTGACTCGGAGAAGAATCATGGAGGACGCAACGACGATCGCGCTCGATTCCACAGTGAGAAGTCAAAATTCAAGTTATTCGAAAGAATCGAAAGATTCGGTGAATTCGGAATCGAAGCCGGAGAGTTGTCTAGAATCGAAACACTCGAAAGATGTTCTTATCCCGGAGAAACAACAGCGGCAGCATCAACATCCGAAGCGCGCCTCCGAAGATCGACAGGATCCGCAGGCAATTTCTGAAGCGAAGGATGACTCTAATCTACTCATGTTCACGTCTTGCGGACAACTGTTGCTCGGTAAGTTGTAATGCGAGAGAGCTTTCCGACTCCTTTTATCGATACCATCCATAATATCAGAATTAATATCATTAGTATTATAATTTCCAACTGGGGATCAAGTAGCAAATAGTAATTGAGATTTTTAACAGATGAGACAATGTAATTGCAAGTGGATTATGAACTAGACGATTTCAAGTGAATATTTTACTTATGTTTCTCGGTCCTGTAAAATGAAGACATTAAATACTGTTACATTTCATATATGTATTTATGATTAAAAACGAATGCTATATATTATTTTTTTTATTTCTTTTCTTTCGACTTTGGATATATTATACACAACATGCGCTATATCAATATTATTTATATTTATGTTAAAATTATGTGAAATATATTCGCATATATATATATGCGCGGTATATATATATGTATGTGTGTACATTAGCTATTAATAATTTTGCTTATTATTACAATTAAAGTTTATTACCATTGTTAAAATTTATAATTATAATAACACTCTCTATTAGAATTGTGGAATCATTACATTATTATTAATGAAAAGTCGTCACGTTGTTGTCCCATTTTATACCGCGTTTCTGTCATCCCACTCGTGATATTTGTTGAATCTACACATTTTCTGAATCTATATAAGATCCGAGTATAATTTCTCTTGTGCGACACTAAAATGCAAATGTAATAATATAAAATCAAAGAATCTCGAAACACAAATACAATTTACTTTACAAATGTCTCTGTTCAATTATGAGAATTAGTTCCGCAACAAGAAAAACGTATTGCCTTTTAATTGCAGGCAATTAAACAGTGATATATTTTAGATGGAAAAATTCATGCGTGCGTTTCGAGAAATCATAAAGCGAAATGTCGAATGCACATAAATCAGAAAGCAACGTAAGAGTGAAAACATTTCACTTGGAAAGTCGTACACATGCAACTCATTTTTCACAACTACAAAGCACGATGCTCTTTGCATCTTTGTGATTTATTTCGCCTGAATAATTTGGGATGATTCAGACGAACGAGTTAATTGTTGTCCTGGGCGCATGTTGCTCTATTCTTCACATCTGAAATCATTCAATAACTATCGAATGGAAGCAAATAATCTCGCAAACGAAGATTTACGCACTAATTAAGATGATCAAACGGTCAAGAATAATAATAAAGAATATATTCGTCTCTTCCCTTTTTTTTGTTCAAAATTTAATAATTTGTTTAAAACTTTCTTTTGTTTGTGTTTGTGTGTGTGTGTGTGTCACGCGGTATAAGATTTAATATAATTATAACTTGTTGAGATTAGATTTATTAACTGTCAATTTTTTCAGTATTATTGTAGACATAGGTCTGATTAGACAAAATGTCCCATATAACTGGTGGTTAAACAAAAAGATTAAGTAAATTAAAAGATGATGATTCTATATGAGAAAATTGGTCCAAAAAAATGTAAGGTAAAATTTTTTTATACAAAATCTTGCTTTATCGAGAAACTTGATTTTGAAAATGGGATGATTAATGATGTTTCACTTTTCTTTGTTAATTTTGAATAAACTTGAATAATTTGTCATCTTGCACCGTTCCTAGGCATCGTTCTGGTCGTTTTTGGTATCCTGGCGCTCGTCCACGGCGCTTCCTTGGGTGGTTCCGGTGCAGGGCTCTGGGCAGGTGCAGGTGCCCTGGTTGCCGGTGCGCTAGGAGTGGTTGCAACGTTAGCAACGTCTTCTACCAAAACAAATTCCGCTTTCGCATCCGCTCACCTCGCTTCTAGCCTGATTGCTCTTGCTCTTTCGAACATGGCTGCTATAACGGCCTTGACGGCGGTCGTCAGGGATTCGCAGAGGTCATCGGAAGTATCATTTCTCAACCTCTCGGTACGTCCTGTATGCTTATTTTGTGATTTAATTTTTGTGTAATGTCAAGAACGTGACGTTTCGAAAGAGAGAGTCCTAATTAAAATTTGTTTATTTGCGATTAATTTATTATGTTAGTGTTAAAAAATATTGATGATATTGTTATTATAATATGTATTATTATAAAAAGAATTATGACAAATTAAAATTACATTTACAGAAAAAAAAATTTTTGCGAAAAATTAGTAGCATTTTACCATCACTTTGATGACGCAACGACTAGCTTAATGATGGTTATTTGTTGTATTCGAGCTGGCAAAGTGCACGCTCTACAAGCATAGAAGCGCGGATCCGATAAAGATCAAGAATGCATCCCCGGCGGCAGCGTTAATTAGCAGGCCGTGGAGCTTTATCTCTAATTAACACACGGACATACGAACACGAGGTGATCTGGATTTGCCGTGTCAATATTGGCATCATACAGTTAGGCAGTTTAGAAAAAAGAAAAAAATTTATAACAGAAAAAAGTAACGAAAACAAAAGCTGAAATATTTATGATTTGTGTGTATATAAATGTGTTAAATACATAATATTATCATTATTTTTTTAAGAGCAAACAAACAAATATGCGCGAAATATTTTTATACATCTTCAATTACATATAGGGGAGAGAATAAAAAATTTATTGTAACTAAACACACACATAAGCAGATTTATGCCTGAATATCCAAAAATATCTGAAAAAAATTTGTTTTTATGTGAAAATTGATAATCTGACAAGTAATTGCTAATTTTTAAACGTTGAGCATAAAAAAAATGAAGACATAAAATTACGACAAAAATTATAACTTGTTTTCGTCTTAAAGAAATCTGTAAAATGTAATGTGTGATCGAGTTTAACTTTTGATATATATCGAATATATATTAAATTGATGGGAGATATACATATTTTGCTTGAATCTGGTAAATGCAACTGATGAAATCGTTTGACCACCGTCGGAGAAAGTTCCCATTGCCAAGGCTAAAACGCGGTCAGGCCGTACCATGAAATTCCACGGATCGCGATCACGGAACGTTATAGGAAATTATGCTCGCGCGCGAACTCACGCAATGCTCGCATTAACGCGCGTGATAACAAAGCGTGTTTCCTTTTAGCTTTACAGAACTTTGAAAGAATATTGTTTGATGTTTGTTTATTTTATGCTATATAGGAGATATAATGGACTGATATTCTGAGCATTGCATTTCGATCGAAATACAACTTGTCAGATATGACAGTTCTTTGTGCAAGACCTTTATTTTTATTTTTTACATGAAATAGTTTGTCGCATCGATATATGAAATTATTAATAGTATACTCATAACGGTAGCGAAACACTATAATCTTCTTCATCTTTGTTGGATTTCCGCATTTACTGTAGAGGATGCAAAAAGAATCGAGAATCTTAAAATATACATCTTTCAGGGTGATGACAGCGACGTGATGCAAATAGACGGTGGTTTGGCAGGTTTGCTGGCGAGCATCGGTTTGCTAGTGGCCAGTGTAGCGGAGCTATTGGTATCCGGTTATAACTGTTTGACCTTGACACCAAAATTGTGCGGCTGTCTGCGAACCAGCGTTACGGACGAGACGGTGAGCGATGGTCACTTAAAGACTCGCAATATGGTTCATCAGTGGGTCATCGCGCAGAATCACGTGCCCACCAAGAACCAGCAGCCACCGATCTATGTGGTGCAGCCGATGCCGATGCCGATGCATCCGATGATTCAGGTAAATGTTTGGCCTTTTCTCCCACGACCTCCAACAACTACGACCGCTTGTCTTATGTTGGGGGGGGGGGGGATAGGTCAGTGACATACGCGACTTGGAAAGTTCAAAGCAAAGAGAAACTCTTCTGAGCAAGTTGATGCGCGCTTTTTTGTGATCGGAATGTAAATACCTCATGCTTCAAGTGCGATGAAAGATGGTTCAAGTAGGTGTGCAGATACACTCAAAACAATTTACTAAAAAATGCCAACATATGACACTGGAATATTAATGATGGAATATATGTTAATTTTGAGAAAGAGAGAGAGAGGGAGGGGAGAGGGGGAGAAAGAGAGAGAAATAAATCAAAATTATTTAATATATGACATATTATAACATATATATATATATATATATATTATATAACAGATTATATATAGTTTTTATAATACAGAATATTATGTGTATAAGGATTTTACACACACACACACACACACACACACACACATACGAACAATACGAACTGCGCAATATTACAAAATAACTACATGTTATGAAAATAGTATTTTGAGTAATTTGAGACTTTGTATTCTCAACATCTTGTTTCTACGTTGATTCACATTATCCCATTACTTTACATTGCTACTTGACCATGCATATCTAGAATGGAAATACCATTATGCATGCAATTAAAATGATATTTTGATTTTTTGCCATTGGAATAGAAGTGGAAACTAAGGAGAAATGTTAAAAATATGGAGATTGTTTAGTTTCGACATGAAATATAAAAGCTGGACTTTATATGACGAATTTTTTATTACCGTAGTATATTATAGTTTGCAATAAAAAAAAATATCGTTTAAAAATAATATAAGGAATTCTGCATAATTATAGCCACCCTACGGTATGCCACCACCAGCACCAGGAAAATTTCCGCTTAGAGCATTCGTACCTACTGGATCTCTTTCGATCTCTACACCGACAACGTACGGCGCCTTGCCTGTGTTGTCCCATATGCCTCCGTATGTTGGACGACCGCCATCTCAAATGGTGAGCTATTAAATATAAACTTAAAGCGCGAGTATAACATCTCTCTTAATAAATTGGTAATTAAATTTATAGTAACACACACACACACACACACATAAATAATATTGTCTAACTATATTTGATAGTCTAACATAAATGACTTTCTCACTCTAACATAATTATACAATTACATGATAAATATAAGTAATGAGAGAATACTACAAGAAAAGTATTAGATAATTACGTGTTTGGATCTGAAAGTAATCTGCAGATTGTATAAAAATGTCTTGAACACAAAAATTGTTAAAGTATAATACGATGCAATATGGTTTTATAAAAAAACGTTATAAACTTTCCAGTTTTTTTCATATCTTTTTTGTATTTTGATTTGTTTCCCGTAATTAATCCGTTTAATGATTTATTTAATCGTGATATAGATATATAATTATAATTACTTATTTAAAATTGTATGTGACAAACATTTGAATAGTTGCGAACAAAACAAAAACGGCAGCCGCTCGCGGATCAGGAAGAACTGGAAATAAAGAGACAAATTGAGATTAAGAATGAATCTTTGAAGAGGATGTCGTCGATCGGCGAGAGTCAAATGGATCTGGCGCAAACTTACACGGGATTGGACAAGAGAATTTCCGAGGAATTTATTTCGATCGCGATGGATCCAGATAGAAAATCGAAGACTTCCAGTCATTACGGCAGCGAAATCGGAACTGCAAAAACTTTTTAATGACTTTTTACAGTAATAATAAAGGGCGTTTAGTGCAAAAATGAAAAAAATATTTATTTATGAAATCTACTATACATACGGTTTTTTTTGTACTTAAAATATACTATACTACATTATAGATTTACATCGTTCTCTCTCATGCACTGAATTATTCAATTTCGAGTAACATTAAACGTTCATTTATTGAGAGCATGATGTCTTGTTACATTTATCATAGGTTTTTTTGAGACCTTCGCAAAATGCAATTTCGAAATGCGAGACGATTATCAAACCGTAATTATCAAACCGCTATTATGTTGTTAATTAATATAATCTTTATTCGCACATTTTTACTAATGTCTGAAGAATGCCAATATTTGTAACATATGTACATCAAGTTTCATCTCAGCATTAAATGTAATTAAGTATGCGGAGGAAGATTATGAATGACTCTTATACTAATAGAATGCTAAGATGCCCATTATATTGCTAGCATAATTCAATAATTTTGTTATTTCATGATTAATTATTGTTTGCATTATGAAAGTTTCAAATTTTATCACGTAATTTTATACACACACAAAATCGACATATTAAGAATAATTAACTTAACCAGTTCACTGGTAATAACTCATACATGAGCACCATGAATAGCTCTGCCAATTTTTAACGGATTTGCATTAAATTTGATATACCCATGTTTTTTGGGTCGATGACTATGAATCCGGAGTCAAATTTGAGAAATTCATAATGGCGGATCCAATATGGCGGCTATCATCATCATATGGATATCATCATCATCATATATATATATATATATATGTGTGTGTGTGTGTGTGTGTGTGTATATATTATTACATATATAATTAGTACATATATTTATTACAATTTATTTATTTATATACATTCCCAATTGTTTGCTAAAGCATTTGATATTTCAGTTTTGATAAGATATAAACTTTTATAGTGTATTTTGATTTTTAAACTAGCTATTACGTTATATAGGCTGCGTTCCGATATTCATTGCTAGTACTAAAAATCTATAATTTACATCATGTACATTATACATAGATTTTTAGTATTGGCAGTGAATATTGGAATGGAATCATAATCATGACTTTTTTATTTATCCAGATTTCTAAGTTAATTTAACCATAATTTGTATATGTAATTTTTGTTATATATTAATACAAAATAAACTTTTTATCTGAAACTAACTTTTGTCATACAAATTTAATTTTTCATTTTAGGTGTGTACAACATGCTTCAAAGATTTAGTTTAGTAAAGAGATAAATCTGACAAATGTTATTGAGAACAATTATGTCTATCACAAGCAATAACAGCAATAAATGAAAAGTAATATCAAAAAATTTATTTACGCATAAAAAAAACGTTTTTCTTTCATTAAATATAGGAGAATAATAATTTTATTTCAGATTGATATACCAGATGCTATAATATATTTATTTGTGATAGTAATATATACTTTTCCACGAATTCGATGGTCACTTCACTGATTTGCATAACATGCGTTGCGACTGTTTGCGGTTGCATCACGTGCGGATTGACTTTTGAGCGAATATCGCGCCACATTTTATTCTGACTGGAAATAGGATGTGAAAACTCTCTCTCTCTCTCTCTCTCTCTCTCTCTCATATCTCTCTCTCTCTCTCTTTCTTGTGCGCACGCGCGCATATAAAATCAGAACTTCATGCTATTATTAATGTTATTAACTCGTAGTTAAATTCTCAACCAAAGAAATTTCTACACTCACATATAATAATAATAATGAGACATAGATAAATAATCATATAAATTAACTCAAATTTGTTAGAGATTACATATGTCTAAGATTCTATATATGCAATTTGAGAGAGAGAGAGAGAGAGAGAGACAGAAGAACACTAAAAAATAAAAAAATTAAAAAATAAAATACATATATATCTTATCACGCCAATATATTCGGCGTTATATATATATATATATATTTATCCTACGAGCTTTATGCAGCTCGTACTTGCCTATAATTATCAGTTTTTCTAAAGTTTCTCATTATTTATAATTATAGATGAAACTATTATATATGTATAATTCATTATATTTGCTTAAATTTTGTATTTAGATTTAGAATCGATTAACAATATAAGTAATAGTTTTATCATTTATTCGGGTATGAATCGATAAAAAGGAGTTTTTACCTATATATGGTATGAATCTAAACCAATTACCAAGCAAAGGCAATGCTTTTGGACCAGGAATATTTTTACCGGAAATAAGTTGGCGCTGGAAGTTCATATTTTTTAATAATTTATAGCTCAAACGATTGGTCAATTCATATTATTAGTTGATATTAACACAGAAAAACTGATGAAATATATTTGTTTGTAACCTTTTTAATACATGTTTTAATATTCATTACTCACGTTAACTTTAAACGAAAAAAATATATCGTATTTTTGTATTTATTCAACAATCAAAATAAACCGCCATCAAAAACGTCATATCCGGTTTCACCCCGTGACGGCACATTGTCCGATCTCTGTTTAAAGCCCGTATCAGACTACGCATTGAAAATTGAGAATTAAAGATTAAAAATTGGAATTTGACTAATCAGAACAAAAGGAACTAAAATTTCTTTGTCCTGATTGATCAAATTTTAATCTTCAATCTTCAATCTCAATCTTTAATGCGTAATCTGATACGGGCTTAAGGATCTCTATGTGTGCGCAGTCGCTATTGAAAAGTAGAGGAATCGATCAGGTAATTTCACGTGAAACTTTTCACTTTTCATTTTTTACTTTTCACTTCTCATTTTTTGTTCATAAAATAATATTTATATTATAAATATAAATTACAGATAACAGATTTCACGTGAGATTTTTCACGCATAGCAATTTTGTACATACCCAGTGAGCGTTATTGAGAGGATGAGCTCTTTAAGTGGACTTTTTAAAGACTTAATTAAATTTTCTTAGAAATGATATCAGTAAGTTATCTTTTTGTAAGATATCTTTCACAAGAGCTCTTTATGATATCTCTTCATAGATATCTCTAAAATCTCTAGCAAGCGTGCCATCGGCAGGAGTGACGGCTGACGGCCAAACTCCGAATTGATATTGGAGACCTCGTAATGCTCGCGATTGGTTTCACTCTCGTTCCGCGTTACGCTAATCCGCGTTTCCGCGCTCCATGTAATGGCACCCTTAATTTTCAATAAAAAATGCAATAAATCATGAAAATAATTAAGGAGCAATCGTTTGAGCTATAAATTATTTAAAAATATGAACTTCCAGCGCCAACTTATTTCCGATATATGTTGCGGCTCGTTCTCCATGTTTTTCATTTCGTTATCCACTGAACAATTCTTGATTGACTTTGCGCGACATTGTATATTTGATAACAATCGTAAATCATTGATGATTTTACGAATGAAAAACGCGTCATACTTTTTATTAGATGCTCTTGACTTATTTATTCTGTAATATATAAATGATATGTTGATAATGATAATGAGTGACTTCGCAAGATAATTGATTTAACGCATTCACATATATACATATTACACACACGCGTGCGCGCACGCATGCACGCACATACACACAGAGCACAAGAAGGCAAAAAGACATCGAGATGTCTTTAAATCATCTTTTAGGGACATGTGTTGTCTGGGTATAGTTATAGTATGTTGACTTTTATTTAAAATATATATAACGAACATATAAATTTACATATTTTACTTGCAATAATGTTATGCATTCGCGTAATAGAGACTATGTTAAATTATAATAAAACGCATTTATATCGAATATAAGACAATATAATCTTGCATATATGAGCGCGTACTTTTTTTCGCGTTTATTCTTATTTCTTCTGTAAATCGCGACAATTTTTTAACGTATGTAGGTATTCTTCCGCTCAATCTTTCTCATCACTTTCTCCGCATTGAACAAGGACTGACATCCCAAACAGTATAAAAAGGTCAAAGGACATCTTAAAAGTGTCGTTTTGGACATTTGTTGTATATATATATATATACTATAACAAAATCTTGACATTTAAATTCATTGAATCATAATAAACAGATATAAATATCTGACAATAAGATACAGTGGTAAGATCGAAATCTTATTACTTGCTTGAAAATAGATAGTTCCATGAAAAAAAGTTTTTTTATAAAAAGTGAGAAAAATACATAGTATATAGTATAGCCGAGAGCTTATCCGAAAAAAATAACCGAACAAGAAACATTAAACAAGATTGATACATCGCGTTCCGATATATCCATAAAGCTTATATATTATGGGCGTTTTCCAGCAAGGTACACAGACAACCATAGACATAGTATATCTAGACCGAGCGTTTGCCTTTATTTAAGGAGTGGTGGCCGATGTCCACGTAGAAAAGGACATACTCTGTTTCGTGCCCCTTGTGTTCTCTCTCGCTCGCACAGAGCATAGCGCTCTCTTTCGTCATGCTACGTGCGAGCGAGAGAGAACGCAAGGGGCACGAAACAGAGTATGTCCTTTTCTACGTGCACCTCGGCTCCCACTCCTCAACACTCGGTCTAGATATACTATGTCTATGCAGACAACACAGTGTATTACACATTATCACATGATTGGCTGTCAAATGAAGAAATTTAAAATATAGCCAATCGCGTGATAATGAAAACGCCCTATACATATAGATACCCTGTGCTCTGTGGCCTGAGCCTGTTCGGCGCTAATGAACAAGAGAGGAGATATTGATATAGCATTCGAATGAAGCAAGTTTAATCGACCCAAGGTGCATTAATGGGTGCGTTCAGGAAACAACCGTTGAGTAGCAATCGAATGTGATTGGTTCTTACTTATTTTAGAATCAACGAATCAATGTCGAGTGTTGACAAGACGATGATCAACGGTTGTGTCTTTTGAACACGTCCAATGACGTCATTGCATCGTCTCTGCCAATAAAAGACTTAAATTCATATTAGTAAAATAGTGATTAATTGATCCGGAATGGATTAAAACCCGTTTATTCGAAAACGCTAATAAAGATCATATGGAACTATGGGGGACATGGGAACGAAACCACTCATTCAGTAAAGAATAAGGGTGCAAACTCATGCAGCGGAATAACATAACGCAGAACGAGAGCAAAGCCAATCACAAGAGTTCTGCAGCTACGCTCGCGATTGGTTCCGCTCTCGTTCCGCGTTAAGCCCGTATCAGGCCGGATTCACACCTTGGCAGAAAAGCAGAAAGCAGAAAAGCAGAGGCCATTCAGAACTCGCGCTAAAAAAGCAGAATGTACTGTTTATTTTCAGCGCGAGTTCTGATTGGCTTCTGCTTTTCTAGCACGAGTTCTGATTGGCTTTTGCTTTTCTGCTTTCTGCTTTTCTGCCAAGGTGTGAATCCGGCCCAGTGTATCAATCATGTAACTTTTCCCTTAGGGTGGAAAAGTGAAAAGTGAAAAATTTTGCCATTGATTTCAATGCTAATATTTTTCACTTTTCACGTTTCCGCCCTAGGGAAAAAGTTACATGATCGGTACCCAGACTACGCATTGAAGATTGAGATTGAAGATTGAAGATTGAAATTTAACCAATCAGAACAAAGAAATTTTAGTCCTTTTTGTTCTGATTTGTCAAATTCCAATCTTTAATCTTCAATCTACAATTTTTAATGCATAGTCTGATACGGGCTGAACACAACCTATGTATAATATATAGAGGCCGTGTTCCGAAATTCACTGCTAGTACTGGAAATCTATAATATTTGTTATGTGAACTATAGATTTCCAGTACTGGTAGTGAATTTTAAACTGCCAGAGGCTGCCGATATTTCCTGCCAGTATTGAAAATCTAGCCTATTACGGTTTTTGAAACGAAGTGAAAATTACAAAAGTGAGGAAATTCACTAGAATATCTACAATTTCATTTGTCGAAATCTAGTAAATCTGTTCACTTTTGTAATTTTCACCTCGTTTTAAGAATCGTAATAGGCCCCCTATAGTGCACGTGATGTAAACTATAGATTTTCAGTACTGGCAGTGAATATCGGAACGCAGTCAGAGTGAAAGGAGATATATTCCACACGTTGAATTTTCCAAGTAGTCACAAGTGACGTGGCCCGAGAAGTGTATGTAAAAAAGAAAATTATTATTTTTTAATATAGGAATGTTTTATATAACTTTCTTATTAATAATACATCTTAAAGTGAAATGTTGATGATA